TTTTTGGTACTGGGGATCGAACTTGGGTCCTTGCACTTGGGAAGCAGGCGGTGGAACCACTGAGCTAAATCCCCGGCCTCAACTATTATTTTAATATTCTCTGTCCTTTACATTGTCTTTTCTCTTAACTCTGAGAATATTGACTCCAAACTCTTTCTTTCCTCTGCATTACCCCTGTTTCCTTTGAGTTCCTTTTTCCCTTTTGCCTTAGGGTCGGGGATTTAGCTCAGTGGCATTGCACCTGCCTCACAAGCATAAGGTCCTGAGTTTGTTCCCCAGTACCACCAAAAAAATAATAGGAAAGCACTGTAAACATGGTGGGTAGGTGGCAGGGCTCGCTACAGGGAGATGAGGTGGGAAGCAGAAGCGGGCATCTTTGGGTGCCCAAAGGTCCTTGTCTCAGGGCTTTGTCCTTGTTGGTTTGCTTGCTTTCCTTTTTTCTTGGGCTGGTGTTTTCACTGGAGGAGTCTCTGAAGAACAAAAGGCAGCATGTTGTGCACTTGGCACGGGAAGAGGCTGAGGGCTTTGTCACCCTCCTCTGACTTCAGCACCTTACACGTCCCCCATTCCTACCCTCCACCTGCAAGAAGAAAGGTGGCCCCTGGCTGTGTGGGTGGCACACAGACTGCTCTCTTTAGCTGCTTTTCCCAACTGTTCTTGTTCTGTTCTGTTCTGTTCTGTTCTGTTCTGTTCTCTTCTCTTCTCTTCTCTTCTCTTCTCTTCTCTTCTCTTCTGTTCTCTTCTGTTCTCTTCTGTTCTCTTCTGTTCTGTTCTCTTCTGTTCTGTTCTGTTCTGTTCTGTTCCGTTCCGTTCTCTTCTGTTCTGTTCCGCTCTGTTCCGCTCTGCTCCGCTCTGCTCCGCTCTGCTCTGCTCTGTTCTGCTCTGCTCTGCTCTGCTCTGCTCTGCTCTGCTCTGCTCTGTTCTGTTTTTGTCCTCCAGCTCTACCCCTTATCCTTGCTGGGCCCTGCAGTGTGAATCAGCTTGCTTCTTAGTCTCTTCCTCTGTCCAGCTCTTGGGCTTTATTTAGCTTTCTTTACTCTAGGTCAATTACAATTTGTCCATCTGCTTTTCATTTCCTTTTTCCCCCTTTTGGTAGTGCTAGGGATCGAACCCAGGGCCTCACATATGTTAGGCAAGTGCTCTACCACTGAGCTACATCCCTAGCCTTTCTCATTTTTTTGCCTTTGTGGGTCTTCCTCCCTTCCCTCCCTACCTCCTTCCTCTTTTTTCTCTTTCTCTCTCATTCTCTCTTTCCTTCTCTCCCTTCTTTTCTCTCTCTTTTTTTAAACTCTTATTTTAGTGGGATTTCAAGGGGAATGAAGACAAGTACATATGTTCTTTCAGTCATGTTCATCCTGAAGTACCCACTTTGTGCTATTCTACATTTGCTGTGTGATGCCTCTGAAGGCCTAGTGGCACAAACCCCATATCCATAGCTCATAGCTATATGTGTATCCTGCTGTTTTTCTTTCTAATGGGAAGATGATAAGCTGTCCACTACAGGAGGAGGTGGTCCATTGGAGGTGGTCAGAAGTTCTAGATCATGGGCTGGGGTTTTAGCTCAGGGGTTCTGCTGCCTGCTTCGAAAGCACAAGGACCAGAGTTCAATCCCCGGTACCAAAAAAAAAGAAGTTCTAGATCTATGTTCTGCAGTAGTTTTCTTAGAAGTTTTGTGAAATTGTATATTCTCTGTGTTATCCTTCTCCCTTAACCACTCCTTTTTAGAGTTTCTGCTGCCATCAAAGTTTTGCATGCTATTTCCTAGCTTTTCTGGACAAGGACTATTAATCTTGTTTTGACCCTAGATGCTCCCCCACCCCCGCCCCGATATCCAGGGGTTTAGCATGCTCTCTAATGAGGAATCAGTAGTAGATGGCTGCAGGGATATTGATATACCAAGGATCCTTTTTTGTAACTTAAGATAATAGGAAAATAGGTAAACACAAAACATCCTTATTTTCAGATCCTGTGTGTGTGTGTGTGTGTGTGTGTGTGTGTGTGTGTGTGCATGTGTGTGGTACTGAATCCAGGGGCACACTGAGCCACATCCTCAGACGTTTTTGAATTTTTTATTTTGAGACAGGGTCTCCATAAGTCAATAAATTGCTGAGTTCAATCTTGCAGTCCTCCTGCCTCAGCTTCCCACATGCTGGGAATAACAGCATGTACCACCATGCCTGGCTCAGATTCTTTGTATTGGTTGGCCCCTTGAACATTATTGGCACTTATTATGTTATTTTAATTATTATTCTTTTCTCCTGGGTTATTGTTTCTCTTCCTGATAGGTTAAATTTAGTTTCCAGGGAGTAGACTTGCAGGGGAATTGGAGATTTTCTGCAGGATTTTGGTTTAGTGATAAGTAATGTGTTTAATTTAACATACATTTGTGCCTAGGGTGCACAGCACAGCACTGTGTCTAGTGATGTGGGACGTACAAAGATATTTAAGACATGGTCTCAATCAACTGAATTGGAACAAGAGCCTTAGCATTCATTAGTAGTCCTGCTGTAGAGGTAAATGCAACAGTGGAAGTACAGACCAGACCATGGGCACCATATGGAAGATCCTAGCTAAAGCATCGGGAAAGTCCAGGAGAGGGAAAGTGGATACTCTCACAGTGGATGTGGTAGGGAGGGCCAGCTCTGGAGGGAGACTGTCAAAGGGATTCTGTTCCCCTGTGTTTATCCACCAACTTGAGTACTCTGTGACTTGTGTGCCTTTCAAAGTAGATAAGTGTAATGTACATCTGGGTTGTTTTTGAGCACTGCTTGCAAACACATGCAATTTCGAATGCACTTTCTATCTTCATGCTAATGCAGTTGTATTGCTATATTGCCATAGTGTTGATGTTGTTCTCCTAGCCGCAGATTCCTATACATCGTCAATCTAGATGCCCCTTTCGAAGGTCACCGGAAAATCTCCCGCCAGAGCAAATGGGACATTGGAGCTGTGCAGTGGAATCCTCATGACAGCTTCGCATACTATTTTGCAGCTTCGGTGAGTTCATTTAAGGAATGTCATCTTTTAAATGTGTCATCAGGGCTGGCAGTCTACATCCTCTGTGGAGAAGAGAATGTAATCCTCATCGCTCAGTCAGAAAAGAGGTTTGGATGGTTCTGCAAGAAAGACAGAGGCAAGTTGCAGATCTATGTATTTGTGTGTGCGTGTGTGTGTGTGTGTGTGTGTGTGCACGCGTGCGCGTGCGCTGGTTCTACCCATGTCAGGCCTTGTATTTCTAGGGATTGAATCCAGATTGTGAAAAGGAAACAGGTAGATGCCTTCATTTCTGCGTGCAGTGAGAATTGGTTTTCATTAGCAGCAAGTAACTAGCAGTGACTGAATGGCACATGACCCTGAAAGATGTTCTTTTTTTGGGGGGGAGAGGGATTAAGGGAATTTTTAATTCACACAGTAGTTTCTTATAGTGATTTGAGACAGTATGAAAATCTATGAAGAAAGCTTAGTAATTTAGAATTTACTTTTCGGGTTTTTTTTGGTTTTTTGGTACTAAGGTAGAATTTACTTTTATAAAAGAATGTTCACAAATATTAAATGTTCTATCTGTGTTTTGAACATTATAACAAATATAAAGCACAACATCCAGTGTTAACACTGATCTCCCATGCCTAATTTGGATTTAGATATTGACTATTTCAGATTTTATAGAAAGGAACTTTTTTAAAGTTTCATTAATACTTTCTGTAAGGTCAGACCAAGGCACAATTGAGATCAGCGAGGCAGGCAAAGTTCAAGCAACATGCAGTGAGTTTATTGCCATCTGGATGCAAATGGGCCAAGGGCGAGAAGGCCGTTGGCACTGAGAGGAGGGTGTGCATGGTTGATATGGGGGAGTTTAGGTAGGGGAGGGGGCACTGGTCTAGAGAGTGGAAAATTTTAGAGTCCCATGGGTGATGGGCCTGGGGCTGGCTGATAAACGGTGGTGGTAGAAGTGGCAGGGTGGCTGCTGGCTCCCTGTTATCTCTATGCTTCTGTGGATGTGGGTAGCAGGTCTGCTTGGGTCGGGGCCTGTGACTTTCATTGTATGTACTATTATTCCTTACCAAGAACCTTCAGTGAAACTTAAAAAGCTGGTGTTAAAAGTAGTTATTTCTTTTCTTGAATATTCTAAAACGTGCCATTTTAAATTAACCTTTGAATTTTCAGGGCATGGAAGATACACAAATAGAGTGCCTAAGAATGTGTTTTAACACAGGCTAATTTTGTTTATGACAAATACCTTTAACTTTCAGATATTGAAAAAAAAGAAAATAAAACAAAAAAAGAACCTATGATAATTTAAAAGGTGTTTTGGGTCAAGATATTTCTTAGTACAAATAATATACCATGTCAAGCAGTTTTTTAGTCAAATTCATAAAAGTGTTAAAAACTTGCATTTGGACCCTGAAAGCTGTTTGAGCAGGATGACAGGGAGCTGTTCTGGGCTTGGGCTTCATCAGTTCTAGAAGTAGCAGAAGACTCCCTACACCCTTCTGCTTAGAGGAAGGGATTTTTTTCCTTGATCAGGATTTGTTAGATCAATTAATCTCAGATTTTAAGTGTGAATATTTGTAAGTGAATTTTTCAAGGGAAAACATGTAAATTTTATTTGGTCTTCTGAGAAATTTATGACCCCAAAAGATTCTGGGCCACGTCATCTCAGGGCCGTCTTTCTCCAGATTCTGTCATCATTCTTCTCTTCTAGAATATCTAAAGCTAAGCCCTCACTCCTTTTGCACTGGGCTGAAAGGGAGTATTTAAAAGAAACTTCTTGCTAGCCTGAGCTGTGCTGTTCTTGGTAGGATGCACTCTGTGGAAGGGGAGCACCAGAGTGAAAGCAGAGCCCTGTTGTCAACTTGAGAAGTCATTTCTGAAACAGACTCTAGCTTTACCTGCAGGCGTGTGAGGTTGGCCAGGTTTTCAGGACTACTCTCTAAGAGGAGGGAAGTCGGTGTAGTACTTTTCCATTCTCAGCCTCTTTCCTGTGAGTGAGGAGGATGCTGCCTTTGATAGCTTGTACCTCTGGGCCCTTTAACAATTCTCTTGCCCTTAGCCTCTGCTCATTTAGTGCAGAGTTTTTCAACCCTGGCATTGTTGACATTAGTCTGGAGCCTGGCTTGGTCTGATGAATCCTGTGCATTGTAGGATATTTAGCCTCAGGTCCCAAGATACTGGATCTCTATTGCATCTCTCCCTCTTGTTGTGACAACGAAAATATCTCTAGACATTGACACAAGTCCTCTGGGACGCAAAGTGGCCCCTGATTGGGAACTACTGACTCAGGCTGACTCCTTAGTACCTGGCCCAAATGGTTTAACATTGCATTGCTCAACAGTGATAAGGAAGACAGCCTTTTTTTTTTTTTTTTTTTGACAATTATAGTGGTTCACATTTATCTGTGTGGAATATATTCCAGCATCCCCAGTGGATGGCACAAACTGCAGATGGTACTGAACCCAATATATATACACCATGTTTTTTTGATATATAAATACCTATGATAAAGTTTAACAGATAAATTAGGCACAGTAAGAGATCAACAACAATCAGATGCAGTGGTGCACACCTGTAATCTCAGGTTCTTGGAAGGCCACAGCAGGAAGATCTCAAGTTTGAGCCCAGCCTGGGTAACTTAGCGAGACTCTCAAAACAAAAAATAAAAAGGTCTGAGGATGTAGCTCAATGGTAACAGCACCTATGGGTTCAATCTCCAGTGCTACAATAAATAAATCAATAAATAGGTAAACAGAAATAAAATAATGAGAGATCTCAGTAGCAACTTGTGGATCTTAGCAACATCAGCATACAATTCTTTTATTAAGTCATGAAATCTTAACCCCTTTTACAACATTTTTTAAATTAAAAATAATGTTTTTGGCATATCTGAATTGCCAGCATGATTACTCTTTTACTTTGGAGCCATAATTGAGTAAAATAAGGGTTACCTGAAGATAAGCACCGTGATACCTCAGTAGTGGATCTCATAACTGTGGTGAATCCTATATGACTTAACACGCATGTAGCATATACCCTGTGGATACACTAGTGCCATGGAGGATCATGCTCTTCAGAACAATGTACAATTTTAAAACCTATGAATTACTTATTTCTAGGATTTTCCATTTAATATTTTTGGATCACAAATGATCTTGGATAACTAAAGCACAGAAACTGAAACCAAGGGTAATGGGAAATTACTGTAATCACTTTAAAGCAAACAATTCAGTGTCCTTCAGTGCATGCATAATGTTGTGTAACCATGGGTGCTATTTAGTTCCAAAGTATTTCTGTCACCTCAGAGGAAAATCCCTACCCATTAAGCAGTTCCTCCCCCTTACCTCCTAGAGACCACCAGTCTGCTTTCTGACTCTTTGTGTTTATCTATTTTGAATATTTCATATATATGAAATAATAGTGTTATAATATGTGATGTTTTGTGCCTGGCCTCTTACATTTAGCTTAATGCTTTGGAGTTCATCCACGCTGTAGCAGGTATCAGAACTTTATTCCTTTTTATAATGGAATAATATTCTCTCCATCAATGGACATTTTAGCTGGCTGTTAACGAATAGTGCTGATCTGGACATGTATGTGGATGTCCTTGTTTTCACTTCTTCTGGATGGGCACCTAGAAGTGGGATTATAGGGGCACAAGGTAATGTTGTGTTCACTGAGGATTAAACCTACAGGCTGTTGTATACTAGGAAAGCACTCTACCACTGAACTGCATCCTTAGTCCTTTACAATTTTTTTTTTTTTAATTTGTGAGACAACATCTTGCTGTGTTGCCTAGGCTGAGGTTGAACTTTGATATCTCTGCCTCAGCGTCCCACCTAGCTGGGATTATAAGTAGGTAACACCCCACCCAGCTCTTTATATTCTCATCAATAGTGCACAAGAAGGGCCGGGGATTTAGCTCAGTGGTTTGGGCACCTTCCTCCTAAGCACAAGGTCCCAAGTTCAATCCCCGGCACCAAAAAAAAAAAAAAAATGCACAAGAGCTCCAGTTTTTCCATATTCTCACCAACATTTGTCATTGTCTTTGTTTTTTAAATTTAAGTCATAGCCATGCCTAGCAGGGATGACATGCCTTATTTTGGTTTTGACTTACATGTCTGTAATTGGTGATGTTGTTGAGCATCTTTTTATGTGCCTATTGGTCATATCTTTTTTTGGAGAAATGTCTATTCATGTCCCTTGCATGTGTGTGTATGTGTGTGTTTCATTATGGGGATTGAACCCAGGACTTCGAGCACTCTACCACTAGCTAGGCAAGCACTCTACCACTGAGGGGCAACTTCAGTCCCTTTGTCCTTTTTTGAAAGGTATTGTTTGTATTTTTGCTGTTGAGGTGCAAGAGTTTTTAATATATTCTGGTTATTAGACTTTTACCACCTATATAATTTGCAAATAAGTATTTTCTCCAAAATATTTGTTGGAGAAATATTACTGTCTTTTCAGTTTCTTGATAATATCTTTGATACACAAAACTTTATTTTAATGAAGTTCTGTTTATCTTTCTTTTTAAAACAGGGTCTCACCATGTATTCATGGTAGAACTCACTATGTGGCCCAGGCTGGCCTCCAACTCATGGCAATCCTCCTGCCTCAGCCTCCTGAGTGCTGGGATTACAGATGTACACCACCACCCCCAGCAGTGCTTTTCTTATTCTTGATTGAAAGGCAGCCTTTTTTAGGAGTAACAGCTTTGCAGTTATGAAAACCTGAGGTCAAGCCCTAGTCTGAATATTGTTTTTCTTTTTTTTTGGTACCGGGGATCGAACTCTGGACCTTGAGCTTGCAAGGCAGGTGCCGGAACCACTGAGCTAAATCCCCGGCCCAAACACTGTTTTTTCTTGAGCAAGGTTTTCACTTGCTGAGCCTTTGTTACCTCTTGTATAATGTGGCTGATGGTATTCATGTTCAGGGTAGTGGGAAATGTCAAGGGTCAAATTTGTTAAGGTGTCTAGTAGTATATAGCCAAGGACTAGGAGACCCTCTGGAAAAGGTAGGGAATGTTGTTATAAGATAAGAGGATTTTAATTTTTCATTTTGTTTCTGTTGGAATCCATTTTTCCCCATTTGGATTCCTAACCTTTTCATAAAAACCTTAGCTGTTTAGAAACACTAAACTTGCTGGAAGATAAGTTAGGTAGAACTCTTGAAGACACTGGCATACGAAAAGTCTTTATGGACAAAACCTCAGTAGCACGGGAACTAGCACAAAGTATCAACAGCTGGGATCTCATCTTATTAAAAAGCTTCTGTGGGTCAGGGATTTAGCTCAGTGCACCTGCCTCGGAAGCACAAGGTCCCGAGTTCAATCCCCGGTACCAAAAAAAGCTTCTGCACTGCGAGAGAAACCACCAACAGAGCTAACAGACAACCTACAATGTGGGAAAAAATTTTTACCAGCCGCTCCTCAAAGGACTACTATCTAGAATCTATAAAGAACTTAAAAAAAATCAGACCCCCCCCCCCAGATTTAAAGACCCAGTTCAAAAATGGGCATCTTAAATGAACAGACATTTCTCAGACAAAGAAGTAAAAGCAGCAAATAAACATGAAAAAATGTTCAACATCACTAGTCTTTTGAGAGATGCAGATGAAAACAACACTGAGATTCCACCTCACCCCAGAAAGAATGGCTGCTATCAAGAAATCGACCAATAACAAATACTGGCGGGGTTGTGGGGAGAAAGGAACCCTTCTCCATTGTTGGTGGGAGTACAGACTGGTGCAGTCAGTGTAGGGTCTGGAAATCAGTATGGAGATACCTCAAAGAATTAGGACTAGAGGTCCCATTTGACCCAGCTATTCCCCTGCTGGGGATCTTCCCCAAAGAATTGAAAGAATCATACCACAGCGATATATGTGCACCCATGTTTATAGCGGCACAGTTTGTAATAGCTAAAGCTTGGAAACAGCCCAAGTGCCCATCAAGTGGAAACTGGATAAAGAAGATGTAGTTTTTTAATAAATGGAGTACTACTCAGCCATAAAGAATGAGAAACTAGAGACATTTATAGCTAAATGGATGCATATTGAGGCCATCCTCTTAAGTGAAATAAATAGGACAAACGTGTAAATACCGAATAGTTTCTCTAGTGTGAGAAACTGAAAGTGTAAATAAGGATTAAAATGATGAGAATGAATAATTGGTAATTTGAAATAGGAAGGAAAGGTCCAAAGGGGTAGGGGAATTGGGAGGGGAGGGGGAAAGGAAAGAAGGGAAAGGAAAAATTATGAGAAAAGGAAAAAATAGAAACAAAGTCTTTGCAAATAGGGAAGGGTGGAGGTGGTGAAGGAGGACAGGGAATGGGAAAAAAATAAGAACCAAGATACATCATGTACAGGTACAGGTACCCAATGATAAATGTAAATGTATTGTATACCTAGAATGTACCAACAAAAAAATTTAAGGAAAAAAAATAAAGGACTTTAGCTGTGTAGATTTGGAAACTCATTTCAGGATAAAAGTCTCAACTTTATACATATGTCTGTCTGAGAGGTAAAATGAAAATCAGTTTATTATATATTCAGTTCAAAAATTATTCAATGGTCTGTCATTGTTCTTAGTCCATTACTAACCTTTATGCACTTCAAGCCAGATGTTGTGGCACATGCCTGTAATCCCAGCTACTCAGAAGGCTGAGGCTGGAGGATCACAAATTAGAAGACAGTCTAGGCAACTTAAGGAACCCCTATCTCCAAATACAAAATGATAAAAAAAAAAAAGGGGTGGGGGGTGCTGGGCATGTAGCTCAGTGTTGAACTGTTTTCCTTAGCAAGCTTGAGACCCTGGGCTCAATCCCTGCTAATGCAAAAAAAATAGATCTTTTTATCTTGACATTCATAACCTAATGTGCTAGGCTGAGGGTAGCTCAAGCTAGTGTTAACTACACTGATTTTTAGTGGCTTTTTCAAATTCAACCTGTAGGATCTCTGCCTTGGAAGTTGGTTCTACATGGCTTCCTCTCTCCCCCTTAAGTGGATTGGAATGAGAACATTTCCTTGTGTATGTCATGCTACCCACTGCCTTCTCCCCCTTCTTTCTTCTCAGAGTAACCAGCGGGTCGACCTTTATAAGTGGAAGGACGGCAGTGGGGAAGTTGGCACCACCCTACAGGGCCATACTCGCGTCATCAGGTAGTCACCTGCCCTCCACAGCTCCTTGGCCTGTCTCACTTTGTCACGGTCCCTTGAGGAGTGAAATGAAGATGCCACCCTCCTCGCATGGCTAAACCCTCTGTGCTGCACTGGCTGAGTAACCAACAGTAATTAGTGTTCCCTAAGGTGATAGCAGAGAACCCAGCAAAGAGCCACCAGTATTTAGGAAGCATCAGCCCTGCACTGCTGACCCTAGTCCCTGATGACACGAAGACAGAGGCAGCCCAGTTTAGAATAAGGATTAGGGCTGACCTTTGCCACAGGATGGGAGGACGTTGTGTGACAGAATCCCCTGTTTGGTCCACAGTGCCCAGCTGTTCATGGAAACCCCAGTGAGCAGCAGCAGCCCTTGGCTTTTTCTCTGCAGCTGTGGGGACCACACAGGGCTCCAGCATCTCAGTCTGTGCCCCAAATGCAGTTGCCCCCTGCTTGGGCTTGCCAAAGTGTCACTATTTCTGGTCAGGGGACACTTTTTGAGGAGAGTAGCAGCAGGGGTGCAGGGCACATGATGATGACCTGAGAGTGATGGGAAGGATTTACACCTGGGTGTGTGTGGAGCACCCCGAAGCAGCTTCCTTTCTGGGAGGAGGGTGTGAGTGGCCAAAGTTCTGTGGCTGCGGGGCAGTTTGTCATTGGTTTACCCAAGGTGGCTGTGATTGAATCTGATTTAGAAAAAGATAAAGATTACTTTATGTGTTCTTCCTTTTTTATTTTTTCTGGTGAGGAGGTCTGCGTGTTTCAGTTGAAATTCTCCACTTCTTTGTGGGGAGTAGGTGGTAGCATTGGCTAGCAACTACAGGGAGGACCTGAAAGCTTCCTTCGGAGCTCTGTTGTTCATTTTCAGGGAACTTCAGAGATCCCAAGGCTGAAGGGAGTCAAGCCCATTGACGATGATGTTTGAAGCCACCAGAGACTAGATTTTCCAGTGCTTTGAAACCAGAAACTGAAGTTTTTGCTTTGTTTTGTTTGTCCTGTTTATTTCTATGTCCCAGTGACTTGGACTGGGCAGTGTTCGAGCCAGATCTCCTGGTGACCAGCTCTGTGGACACCTACATCTACATTTGGGATATCAAGTAAGAACTGTGAGAGGCATGACCACTTGGTTGTGGGACAATGTGGGACCGTTGTTTTAGAGATTGAGTATCTTAGTCTGTTTTCCTCCAGATGTAAACCAAGACAAGGATTTGAGTGCTACACACTGCTAGGAGGGGAAAGAAGTGCTGGGAGGGGCTGGGGGAAGATAGGCAGGCTCAGGAGTCCTGCAGCGAGGGACCCTCTTCTGGGGACCCTGTGAGTAGGTGGAGGTTAATCTTTGTGCAGAGCACTGGGTGCTGGAGCACAGCTCCTTGCTCGGAGGTGTCCCACCGAGGGCTGAGAAGCAGGGTGCTACCCTATCGTCATTGGCAAGGACCACACACAGGGTCTGAATTCCCTGGCACCTCAGCTGTCAGTTCTGCAAAGCAGGCCTTAGTAGCCAGAAATCCCTTGGCAAAGCAACATGGGTGCTGCCATTTGGAACCTGAGCTGGGGTTCACCGAAGTGGAGAGTGACAGAGGGGGATTTGGGTGGGGGCACATCTGCTTCAGTGGGCAGTGCTGAGACATCTGCTCAGCTCTTGCTCTTTGTGAGGCTGCTGTGCCCATCTCTCAGAGGACGTCAGCGGCCCCTCACAGTCACCCTCCTGGAGGAAAGAGGAAGACGGTCACATCCTCAGAACAGTGCTGCCCTTGGCATGTGGATTCCCTTTTCCCCCCAGCCAGGTTTCTCTGCTTCCCTCATGATAATGACTTGGGACTCTTTCCCAAAAAGTGGGGACTGCAGGGATAAGGAAGCCAGGTGTTGGGGTGGAGCAGATGAGGGAAGAGCTCTTGGGGAGGTGGGTGTGTGTGGCTGACTGGACCAAGTACTACAGACAGAACAGCACTTTAGTGCCATTGCTCTAAGGGCAGCTCCCAGGGTCGAAGCTCAGGATCCAGGGGACCTAAAGAGGGAAAACTTTTACTTTCTTTTTTTTTTAGTTCTGAGACAGAGTCTCAGTCTAGTTGAGATTGGGCTCAAATTCATTATATAGCCCAGGCTGGCCTTGAACTCACCACAGTCCTGCCTCAGTCTCCTGAGTGGTGGGATTACAGGCATGCACCACCATGCCTGGCCCATCTTAGCCATTTTTAAGTAGATAGCTCAGTAGTGTTTAGTAGTTATTGTGCAGTAGGTCTCCAGAACTTCTTCATCTTGCAAAACTGAAAACTTGGTACGCATCAGACAGCAACTTCCCAGTCTCCCCTTTACCCAGCCTCTGGCAACCATCACTCTGGCTTTTTGATTTTATGGATTTGGTCACTCTAGTGACCACATATAAAAGACTTGGATATTATTTATTTACGTGACTGGCTTATTTCACTTAGCATCATCTCAAGATTCATCTATGTTGTAGCTTGTGTCAGAATCTCCTTCCTTTTTAAGAATAACATTCCATTATGGGACCCCCTACATTTTGTTTATCCATTCATTGGTTGTTTCTACCTCTTGGCTATTGGGAACACCCAGAGTGGTTTTCAAATCCACCTTTGAGGTGTGTTGGGAGGGTTCTTGCAGTCACACTGCCATTCCTGTCACCTTATTGCCACTAAGGGAAATGACACCGGGAAGGGATTTTTTGCCTTTTCTCCCTCCACACTGGGGCTACTCAGGCCATGCTGAATCATATAATCTGCTTTTTTGTGGCTTCAGCTGTAATGATTTGAAATTCAGACTCAGCCTCAATTGAAATGGCTGAGAAAGTTAATCTATCTTGAGGAAAACAAGTCTCTTTGTATATCTATATGTATGGTCATATATATATGTATATATATGAATTTTTTTGAGACAGGGTCTCACCATGAATCCCAGGCTGGCCTTGTGACCCTCCTGTCTTGGCCTCCCAGGTGTTGAGATTACAGGTGCTCACTAACCATGCCTACTTTTTTTGTTGTTTTTTCCCGGTACCTGGGATCCAACTCGGGACCTTGCCCTTGCAAGGCAGGCAGCAGCACCACTGAGCTAAATCCCCAGCCATGCCCAGCTTTTTAAGGCCCTCATAGCAGATTTAACTCTGAGTTCCCACTGAGAGGAAAGTGAAGAAATGTGTGCAAAGTGTGAAAAGCAGCAGGTGCCTGGCAGCTTATGAATTGGGCATTTGACTTCTGGTTTTTATATTTCAGAGACACAAGGAAACCTACAGTCGCACTATCTGCTGTAGGTGAGTGTCTACACCCTCCCCACCCCCCAGCACACTTGCTTGCTTCATTCCATTCTTTCCTTCCCTTCTGTTCCTCCTCACACTCAAACTATCCATGCCCTGTGTTCTGTCAGGCTGGTTGTACTTAGAAGTCCTGTGTTGAAAAGGCTTACTTTAAGCTGCCTGCAGGAGCCAGAGTCAAGATATTGAGGGCGGATCAGGATGTTTTTTGAGAATTCAAGGACAGAAGCCATATTGGCTTGCAATCTTTTTATGTGGAAAAGGTCAGTTGCATATAAAAATAGGAAAATGAACTGCCTTGCAAATGAACTCAGGATTTTTACACTGAGCTATATCCCCAGCCTTGTTTTTATTTTTTATTTTTATTTTATTTTTTGAGGCAGGGTCTCAGTGAATTGCTAGGTTACCCAGGCTGGGCTTGAATCTGTGATCCTCCTGCCTCAGCTTCCCTGAGTGCTGAATCTTGTTTTATCTTACCCACCATTCTACCCCCACCCTCATTCAGTATATA